GAATTTTCCCGCGGGATTTATACAAATGTTTGGAAGACTTAAAAATAACCTATCATGTTCCCACATCTCAGTTTTTAAATACGAGCAGTTTTAAAAATATCTTGCCTGATCCCTTGAGAGACTACATACTTTTGGCGCTCTATTAGATCTCTCGACTTTAAGATCGTGAAACAGATATTTTTTAAAAACGTTCCCAGAACTAACCATCGCCTTAATTTTCTGGACAGATAATTTGGCTTTTGCGGAGAGGCTTCTTCAGACCATGGACTGGGCATTTAAACGTTACAAGTTTGACTTTTTCCTGCGAATAGATGATGATCATTTTCTTTGCCTGGATCGCCTTTTATATGAGCTGAATTTCCGTCCAAAGCAAGCACTTTATTGGGGATTCGTTCACTGTCACCCCAAAATCATTCGCGTGGACGAGGCGTGGCTGATTCTAACACGCGACCTAATCGAGGAGATTTTGGACAAAAGAAATTCAACGCTTCTCTGCTCGCCGTACGGAGATCAAGCAGTTGCTCTGTGGATGATGGACAGCGCCAAAAATGTCACTTATTTCATGGACAACAAACGTATCATCCACAAAAGCGCCGGGAAAGATCAGAATTTTTTACTTAACAAGGATGTATGTATGCAGTATATGAGTCTTCACGGGACGTACCCGAGATCCATGCGACAATTTTGGTTATCTTCCCATATTTTGCGGGACAGAGACCCGTTGACTATATCGTATGATATTAACGTTATAGAACCATTTTCGACGCTTTGTCGTTTTCCGCCAGTGTTTGACTATAGAGGCTTTATAAAGGAGTTCCAGTTTGAACCCAAGCCGTGCTATGAAAATCCTAAGTGGTCTGTTTCAAAGAAACCTCATGTCGGTCGAGAGGAGTTTGGGGAGAGATATTCAAAATATTAGTAATGTTTGTTTATCAGTTCTTGACAACAAAAATTGTGTTTAATTAACCCTTGAAAACTTTTTGCTCGATTTATCTTTCGCCGGCGAACGACCGACTAACATGTGTGCTATTTCATAACAGTAGAGCTATTCAAGTTGATCAAGTATCGTTTATTATTCTGTATAATTGCTCTTACAAAAGAGGTTCAATTCGACGGATACAATCTAAACTGAGCTTGTTGCTTTTGAGTAAATTTGGTAGTTTTTACCAGTAGAGAATGTGCATAATTAAGCCTTCAAATTAATTAATTAATTAGTTAATTAATTAATTAAGCCTTCAAATTTGAAAGTGTATGGAGCCCACCTTGGAATCAAATTATCACATTTAACTCACATTTTGCCAGACAGGATGTTATAAGCTGTAATCTAGGTCTCACAAAGCTCCCAGCTTGAATCTCCTTGACTGTAGCACTGTATATATACGATTTTCTTTTGTGAAATACTTCAAAAAATCTACACATATCACGATACAAATCCACGGGGGGTCACCTGTCAATTAAAAACTTTTCATAACTGAAAAGACAATTCCCTGTTCTTAAGAACCGTATGTCATGTTCCGTACTTGTCTTTCCTTGTTTTGCTGAAGAAGCTGTTGGTAACTGAACACTTCAAAACAGCAGCGTAAAAAAGAAAATTTAAAGGGTTAATCCACGGTATGCCACAGTCAAAGCTAAACAGCATATGTCAGCCTCCCCGTTCTTCTGTCAAATGCATTGAAACAATAACCTTTTGAAACTAGGAAACGTTCTCACTTTCACAAGTTTCTCCTCAGACGATCGCAGAATGCGCGAGGTAGCATGCGCAGGATTTTTGCAAGGCTTAATTACCAGCCGCTGTTCCAGAAAGGAGCCCGCGCTCTTCCCCCGAAATCTTCTCGGGAAGGAACATGGACCGGAGTCGGGAAAGCGGCGGAAATCGAGTCCAGATTTTTGCTAATCAAAAAATCCGAACATTTTATTTGCAATTTGAATTTTTCATATTCTCCCACTGTGTACTTGACAATTAAGTGATATGGTTAGGAGAAAGTAGATATTGGTCATTCTGAGAAGTTGCCTGCTAATGTCACCGCCTCCTTTAGGCCCCGTCCACACTACCGGAGGAATTTCAGTGAAAACGGAGGTTTCACTCTGAAAACGCAGCAAATGTTTTAAACACACTATATATCGCAGGAATTTAAGAAATCACGTGATTATCGTGACGTCTTCGTTTTCGAAAAGCTCCGTTTTCAAAATGTTTTCTGTCTACACTACAATACAAAGTCAGGGTTTTCAAATTCCTCTGCATGGTTTGAAGAGCGTTTTCGAAAAGCTCCGTTTTCGTGACGGATTAGTGTGGACGGTAGGCCTAGCCGTAGAAATAAAGCTGCGTTTTCAAATTTCTCCCGAGTAGTATGGACGCTGCTTTAGCAACCGGCTTGTTTGCTGATCACGCGAGAGATGAGTTGGTAGGCTAACTATCTCAGAAGCTATTTTTCATGCTGCGTCCGCCCTATGATGACAGCTAAAAGCTGTTCAGTACTAACTATAAAAACAGAGATTAGTTTTCTCTAGGTTAAGTTCTCCAGAACTTGACAAATTCATTTCTTTACCGTGAGAAAACTTCTCGTCTGTTCTCAGTGGAAACACTACTTTATCTGTCGCATTTCCGAAACTCTAGCTGTAGAAACACAGAAAGTGCCTTAGAACTTGTCTAAAGCAAATGTTCAGAGGATGGTGCTGAGAGAAACATGAGCATAATTGAAAATACACTCAACGGTTCAAGTAAGTTATTTTTAGCAAAGCAACCAAACAAAACCATGCAATTCAGTAATTGTACTTTATTTTGACTTCACCAATTGATCACTGTATTGTAAGTACGTGAAATAAAGTGAAGAACAAAGAACGCCGACAAGTTATTATCTATCAATCAAAAGCGTCTTTCAAGTGGCTTTAGTAAATTGGCCTGTAGAGTCTTTGTGTGGGCAGTGTAATATTTTCTATTCGCCGAGGGATTTTATAATTACTCTATACAAGTTTATTCACCTGGTTTATTTACATTACTGTGGCGTGTTGAGCGGATTTGCTAATTAAAGAGCGCAAAACGGTTTCGCAGATAATACAATGAAACCACGAAAATTCCGATCTTTTGTGTATTAAAAAGCTGTTGTTTTCTAGCTTCAAGCCGCGGAAATCCGAAAATTTAAATCGTTTTCGACAAGGGCAATATGAAAGGCCACGAGGTACATAAGAACCAATTTGAGAAGTTTACTTTGGAGACAAAGCCCCTCAAACAGTTTGGATTAGAATTTGTATGTAATCCCCTTGAAAATAAGAATTTTGTCTTCATGGCTAAATCATAGGGCCCTTTTGCGATTTAAATTGAGGGTAGTTTCCTTTTTCATTTCTACATGCAGTCATACATTGTTGTAACCAGACAAAGTTTTAGAGAAAGAAGTCATTAAAGTGACTACATCAGTAAAATGAACAAAGAAAAGAAAGCTTCCATAAATTATTTTCAATGGTATGCGTCTAAATGTGCACATAAGTTTTAGCCATTACTAGAAGCGGCAAACTATTGATTCCAATTTGATTCACATCTGTGACTCAGTGCTTATTATGTTATGCCCTTTCTTTGACTGGCCCATTGATAAAAAACAAAACAGCACATAACCATATACCCAACGTGAAATCTTTTGTTATTTAATGTTCGTGGAAATTGGGCGTTAGTTATACATCAATGAGCAAGGCTCGTATCTGTTTTTGTGCTTAAAATTTCATTGTGTGTTTACCGATAACCCATGCTAGCACTCAAGACCCTCTGAATTTGAAGAATCTTCTCCTGCAAGTCGAAAGTTTACATCCCTGACAGCAATATCATGACGGCTTTATCTTCAGCAATGACACAGTGTAGCCCAACTGTCGTGTTTCAATAAGCTTATTCGGAAATTCTTGTGAGCGATTACAGTAAGCTAATCAAGTGAACGGGCAGTCGCTCTGAAACAGAAAGCGTAGTCACTGGAAAAGGTGAGGGCGGCTTCCTTTTTATTCAGGACTCGTTGACAACTGTTGCACTAACATCTTGATTGACTTGTAGTTGGTATGGGAAGTTTATTTCAAGAGAATAAGCTGCTTGTATCAGTCGGACAACTCGAAATTTATTCACCCAAGTCGTGAAGCTCGCGTAGCTCGGACCAGTTCAAAAGTTTATGTGAATTGTGGTTTTTTAAGTATCTTTTAATGTCGATGTTTCTGTCCGCACGGAAGACGCCGATGTCTTTTACTTAACCCTTGTAAAGTTGCCAAACTTGGACAAGAGATTCATTCCTCCTTCGCTTGTTCGAAACGAGACAAAAGTGCAGTGTTTGTAAACGCAAATTGTTCCCGAATCAATATCAAACAGTCATTAAGCATATTTCGGAGGGCGCTTATTGTAATTATAACTTGTAAGTTTCTTCTTATTTAATTTTTGGGACTTGTTTAGTGTCATTTGCTTGGTGTATGTAACACTTAGTGAAAGTATGTCCGAACCGGTAAAAGCTCACTTATTGCCTATCAGGTCAACAAAACCCTTCACAGACCCGAAGGCTGCCCCTGACTGTGAATCTTTATAATTTGCCAGTGGTGTGTAAACCAACAATTAATATTGTTTTGCTCTTATACATGTATATATATAGCTCGCTTGATTAGATAGAGCAGCGATATCTAATATACCGTATTTTCCCTATCAAAGATGGGTTATTTTCAATTTTTAAAGCATTTTTTTCTGCGCGAGATGTTACGCACGTTTGATTCACAATGTGTTCCCCACATGAGTGACCGTGTTACTGCTTTGAGAACCTTTCCGCGGTATCATTTCTCCTCGAAAGAATGCTAATAGACAGATAATTGCTCGTTTGGCTCCAAATGCGTTGAAACTAATGATCGGGAACAACTCGCGTACAAAGGAAATGTTTAAGAGGTTGTTAAAAATAGAAAACAGTAAGGAAAGGTTATAGTTTTAGAGTCGTTTAGCCTTGGCAAAATGTGTCTCAGCTCAAAATATTTTTGTAATCAACTTCAGAAGCCTGATTAAGATTGTGAAGAATTGTGCTAAGCGTGTTATTTAAGCTGATCAACTTTTTCAAGTGTAACCATAGATGCCAATTCCTGTTTACTAATATAGGTGCACTCAAGATTTACGTACGCACTTGTGAAAATGACAGAACGTTCCTTAGACGTAGAATTTATAATCGTTCCATTGATAAATTTTCTTTACTTTCATTCTCATAAAGACGATCGAAAGAAAGATTCAATCACGTATACTGAATGAGGGCCCGCAGAGCGTGCAAAAATATTTGCAGTCGTGACTGCCGGAGGCAACAGCTGAAAGTAATTACTTTAAGAAGGAAAGTGATTTTCGTGACTCTTCATCCATGCAATTTACACATTTACTTATCACGTAACGTATACAGAAGATTTTATTTTAAGGTCACTATTTTAAATGTTTGCCTATAGCTTTAAGGCCACTACTAAAGTACCAGTTGCACTGAAAAAACGTGCTCAATCTAACTGCAAGTGTTTTTCGATTGCCCCAGTGATCTTTCCGAGGTGAAATATTCAATCAAAAGATATCGAAACGTCGCTTTTTAATTAAAGACGAAACAACTCTGACAAAAAAAAAAAACATTTCTGTTCATGATGTCTGGCAGTACGCCGTGGTTGCCAACCTTTAACCCGAATATTGTCACCACCACTAAAATCTCGGCCAGAGTCATACGTATCTGTTTTCATACATCACGAATCTTGTTTATTTAGTCTCCGACTCGTTCGTCAATGCTCTTGGTCAGTTTATGTCTTCTCGTGGCTTGTTTCCTTGAATTTGTCATAAAACAGTCAAGAGAAACTGGGATTTGATCACTGGAAATGTTAATTACCATGTATAAACCTGCTCGGGCAAAGCACGTGAGTTGAAATAAGGAAGCAATTAATCGGACTTCATTGCCGACGTGACGACATTAAGAGCCTCTCTGGTGAAAATGATACACTGTTCATCAAGGATCGATTGTTGACGGAGATTTCAAAGGGGTTCTCACGTATTGATTGAGTCTGACTAATTTTGACCGCATTCAAATGACAAAACGTGTTTTTCTTCCGTCAACTGCTAAAACTGTGTCTGAGAGCATGTTACATAAAAATAACTTAATCAATGACTAGCAAAAAACGGCTCCACCTACTCCTTAGTAATGATAAACAGATTGAAACATCAGAAGCACAGAAAATCGTGTAACTATTATTAGTCTCAGTAATATAATTACAGAAAGATGACAAAAATAGCCTAATTTCTGCAGAAGTTGTCAATTAGGTTTATTAGAAACGATAGGATCATAAAAGTTTCGTTTATAATATCAATCAGTTCTAAAGTTTCCAATCTTTCCCCACAAAAATTCAAGATTGGTTTTTCTTGCCTAATATTGTCAACAGAAGTGCAATGTGTACATCGTAACGAAGGAAACGCGCTTAAACTTTCATGGAAGCACTTGAAAATGTTTCTATTCTGAGAGAGTCCGACGTAAGAGTGGGACTAACCGAGAGCATATATTGCGAGGCCAAGGCGTCAAAATAGCTGTTAAACGGAGCTTTTAATATCCGAAAAACATGTTATGCATAACTCGAAACATGCGTATTTGTAATGTAGCGCATAACATTTAACACAACATTTAGATGATTCTTGTGGCTTAGAGGACACGTAAAGAGGAAAGCTCCGTAGATTTATAACAAGATTTGTAGATTTAATTGCAGGAGATGCGGTGAAATATTCCTTATCAAGGTAGTGCTTGGGAGGATAATTCAATTAGTCGAATATCTAATATCCTCTCTTGTGTTTTACAGGGAAACTAAAGAGGTCTCTTACCCGCTGGTCAACTTGAGTTTAAAATGGAAAGAGTAGAAGGCCTTGATTATGTCAATAATGAAGAGGGCCTAACATTTGCAAGTGATGATGATCAATACACAGACGATGAGGACTTGGGATCGGATTGTAGCTGCTCGACATGTAGTACATGTAGTACATGCAGTACGTGTGAGATGTGTCACGCGGAAGAGACTGGGGAACAGAGTTATGACGAAGAAGAACACGACATTCCCGGATGTGAACAAGATCTACAAAACGATATTCATTATTTCAACAGTGATAGCGACAATATGGAGAAACTGACGCACTTACAAGGCGACGAGTTACATTTTTCATCGAAGAACGGCTTCACAAAGGACGATCAGCTCATTATTGAAAAGTTTGCCAACGTTGTAGTCTTGAAAGCTGATGCGTCGCAGTTTAAGAATGGAGGTTACTTCACAGGCGATGATAATTCACAGGAAATTCTTCTCGGTAGTAAACAACGGAAGAAGAAAGTGACCTTTTTAGATGATTCTTCGTCATCTGATGAAGTCACGCAAGCCGAGGCATATTCTATTTCCAGTCTCTCTGACAGTAGCACGAGTGGCTCGTACCCAGACTATGCGCAACCTCTTCAAAATGGCGACCATTACGACAAAAACGTCGAGAGAGACCAAGACGATGGACAGAAAAATAATTTCTCCGAAGGAGAAATGAAGAGAGAATATCATCGCTTGAGAGGCGTTTTGAAAACGATCGATCCTCTTAAATTGCACGCTATACTAAAACACAACTTGAAAACCAAAGATCCTGAAACGATCAATGCCTTAGGCACTTTACTTCCAAAGAGCAAGTTTACCGCTGACACTGTTCACTGTGTTCGCTGTCACAAGGAGTATGATCCTCACTATGGCAGAAAAAGATGTACGCTCCACCACCCGGAGAAAGACGTTTGCAAAATATCCCAGAACTCTCTAGGCGCTGACTTCAAGTGCAGCTTGTGCTCAACATTGTTTACTCTCCAAGGAGTCTGGGACTATAAATTAAGCAGTGTAACCGAACAGAATTGTGGGGTATGCTTTGATGGCGTTCACACGCCTGATCCTGATGAAGTTAGTTACCAGCCCTCTGGCGCGGCGCAGTGCTGTGAGGACAAAGGCTGTATTGAATTTTACGTATAGTTAATTAAGCGCTAAATCCAATTTATTTTCGTATTTAAGTAAATTGACACTCTCTCCGATAGTAGCCGTGAATTTTACTGGTTGTTTTGCCGCTGTTCAGCCTGGTAACCAGACTTTTGCTCTTGTACTGTTTTGTTTACAGTACGAAATGGCGGTCACCTTGTCGGCGCGCTAGCGAAACTTCGGCTGGAAGCGAGCGAGTAGGTGACGTATCTTATCAAATTGAACGAACCAAGAACATTGAACGACGAACATCGAAGACTAAGAGATCGACTAGACTTAATTAAAACTGACGAGACTGCTATTAAAAAAATTCCATGGAATACACATCCTTCATCCACCCATGAATTTTCAATTTTGTCAGCTTCTCTGTAGCTTGAAATGTCAGTCATCTTCCGCTCTCAACCTAACTTCCGGACGAACGAGTCTCTCGCCCGGAAATAGGTCACTTTCGATATATTAAAATTCAGCTTGATAGCCGGAGGCCTAGAGGACACAAACAAAAAATTGAATAAACATGGTCGTTCAATTCCGTTTGTTTATGTCCTCTAGGCCTCTGTGCCAAGTTGAATTTTAATGTATCGAAGAAACAGTCTATTGACTATTGACTATGACTATGACTGAAATTTCAGGCTAGCATCTCTATTTTTTTTCCAAGTTTATTTTCTGTCTCTACCGTCTGGCACTGCACCAGCCTCATACCCAGACACCTTAACAAGTTCTCTTGTTCATTTTGCATTTTAGCAACGAAAGTTTTATTTTATCAGTCTTCAATTCAACATCTTGTTACGTCGATCTCTTATTTAGACTGCTGGCAGCCGATCTCTTTGTGTTGTTTGTTTTTATCCATCCGTGAACAAGAACCCAAAATGGCTGTATGGACGAAAAGAGATTGGGACGAGACGACTGAGTTTCAATCTCTTCCAGTCAAGAACATCTCGCCTCTTAATCCCTGCTAATCCATGATTTCGAGGGAAAAACTCGTTCGTGTTTTACACGATCGACGGAGCGATTTTACAATACCGGGCCACTTATTAACATATCCCTCAACGCTTCTAAGAACGAAGCATATAGAAACAAAAGGAACCACTTAAATTCATTGAGATTCAAATGAGTGGCCCGGTCAGTCTATGACCTAGCCACACCGACTGCCAACAGCTCTACCTCATAATAACACTTTGGAAGGTGACTGGCAAGAGTTAACAAAGAACTTGGGAAAACTGAAATATGACAACATACTGTTCTTCTGGGAAAATAATTTTGGTATTTGCCGCTGTTGTGTGCTTTGTATGTCCAGGTATGTATGATATGAATAACAATGCAGGTCAATAAAGACCTGAAGTGGCCTGAAGCTCCTGTATTCAGTGGTTTGCTAAGCTGTTTAATTGACAGCCTTTCGTTTACGTAGGAAAGCGGAAAAAACGATAAAGACCGACGTTGCTTTGTCATTATGACGCCAATGACATGACATTTGTATTCTGCGCTTCCTTAAAAAAAAAAAAATTGGCCAAATTGGCATAATAAATGGAGTTTCAACACGTCTGATGAATAACATCTCGTGCGCTTAACAATCAAACTTGTTCTTTCATTTCTTTAGCAGGCCATCTTGCGAAAAATCAAAAACGTTTCCGCCCAACGGGCATAGCCCTTCTTCATTGCGTCATGCTTAAGAAGGACTGACCGAAACGCTTGCATTTTTCCGTAGCTTTTCTTTCAGTGTTACGTAACTTTAAGTTAAAAATCTTGTAAAAGTCAGTGTGGAGAAAAGAACATTGGTTCCAAAAGTCTCATGAAGAAAACGAGAACGTAAGAAAAGACGTTTGCCATGTTGTTATATCTGATCAAGAGAATATTCTCTTGATCTGATTAACCTNCAGCAAAAACTTTGCAATATCTTTCTGCAACTACCTTATATTTAAGCTGCTGGCTCTTAGTGTTTACGCAAAAAGGCCGTATGGACAAAAAGAGAATGGGACGAAACGACTGAGTGCTGCGCTTATGTCTCGTGCCAGTCTCTTCTGGCCTCTTAATCCCTGGTAATCCATGATTTCGAGAGAAAAACTCGTTTTCTAAAAAGACACAGAGTGCCAACAGCTCAACCTCATAATAGGTCCGTAGGACAAAATAGAAAAATCCATTTTGCACATCGGAACAAGACCATTAAGGCCAAGCAAGTGCTTACAAAGGACTTGGGACAAAATATGGCAAGATATTGTCCTACTGGGAAAATAATTTTGGCATTTACTGCGGTTGTGTGCTTTGTATGTCCAGGTATGTATGAAGAACAATACGGGTCAGTAAAGACCTACACGCTCTTATATAAATCCTTAAGTAACTGAGGATGTGTTGAAGTGGCCTTAAGTTCCTTCATTTTATGGTATGTTAAGCTGTTTAATTGAAGGCTTTTCATTAGCTTAGGCAAGCGAAAATGAACAAGAAAAACCCTACGTTAACCAGCGTTAACGTGTCGTGCATCAGTACGCCATTGACATGGTGATTGTAAAAATATCTTGTACGACCTTTTCTAAAAAAACTCGCTAAATTTGCATAATAAATGAAAAGTTGAACTACGCAAAAACTTTCCCAAAAATTGAGTATGCACGTTTAGACTAGGTTCTTGAAAAACGTCAAATGAATAACATCTCGAAATAAACAATCAAACTTGTTCTAGCATTTCTCTAGGACTCGAAACTGTCTTATATTACGAGGTCTTAGGGACGCGTTCTCGCGTTTCTTGTAGTGTTAAATATATTGATAACAGGCGTTGTTTGTGTAAGTGGCCGCAAGTGTACCCAATTTCGCGCAGGTTACACTGAAAACGATATGCAAGACATTTCTTGGGTTACATTGGTAGAATTAGTTCGATGTTTTAGGTACTTCAGTCCGCGTTTCTACTCATGGTGCCCAGTTCAGTCAGTTGGATGCCAAGATACTATGGTGAATTTAACCGGGGTAGGGGGTGGGTTTAGATGCGGGTGTGTAGGAACTCAAACGTCTAATTTTGGAGCTTAGGTTGCACATTGCTACTGTGATTATTATTATTATTATTATTATTATTATTATTATTATTATTATTATTTTGGTGGTGGGGGTGGGGGTTGGGGTGGGGCGGAATTTGAGCCTGAAAACGCTTTCAAGATGTTCTTCACGTGACATGGTATAGTGTTTCAATAAATCAATGCGGACGTGACCTGTAAACCTACCAAAGTGTTTTTTTTGCTGCTAATCAACCCTCAAAGGGTGTTCTCACAAAAAATGGTTCTTATTAAAAAGAAACGGTGTAGGTAAAAAAAGTGAGCTTGTTATCAACATATCTGCGGTAGTACGAGGGTCGTTTTCCTTCATACTCAAGGGTTTGTTCAGAAGCAGAGGACATAAAAGGTCGTAAAAACGTTGAGTAATAATCANGTTCTTGAAAAACGTCAAATGAATAACATCTCGAAATAAACAATCAAACTTGTTCTAGCATTTCTCTAGGGTTCGAAACTGTCTTACGAGGTCTCAGGGACGTGTTCTCGCGTTTCTTGTGGTGTTAATATATTGATAACAGGCGTTGTTTGTGTAAGTGGCCGCAAGTGTACCCAGTTTCGCGCAGGTTACACTGAAAACGATATACAAGACAGTTTTTGGGTTACATTGGTAGAATTAGTTCGATGTTTTACGTACTTCAGTCCGCGTTTCTACTCATGGTGCCCAGTTCAATCAGTTGGATGCCAGGATATGGAAGCATGCTATTGTTCCTAATCTCTCTGGTGAATTTAACCGGGGGAGGGGGTGGGTTTAGATGTGGGTGTGTAGGAACTCAAACGTCTAATTTTGGAGCTTAGGTTGCACGTTGTCACTGTGATTATTATTATTATTATTATTATTATTATTATTATTATTTTGGTGATGGTGGCGGGGCGAAATTTGAGCCTGAAAACGCTTGTAAGATGTTCTTCATGTGACATGCTATGGTGTTTCAATAAATCAATGCGAACGTCACCTGGAAACCTACCAAAATGTTTTTTTGTTGTTGTTAATCAACCCTGAAAGGGTGTTCTTACAAAAAAAATGGTTCTTATTAAAAAGAAACGGTGTAGGTCAAAAAAGTGAGCTTGCTATCAACATATCTGCGGTAGTGCGAGGGTCGTTTTCCTTCATACTCAAGGGTTTCTTCAGAAGCAGAGGACATAAAAGGTCATAAAAACGTTGAGTAATAATCAATAAAGCGAAACATTTTTTTAAAGGGCTCGCAGAATGCATCTGAAATGACAATAGGGAGCTTAAGCAAGGACACCAAGGGTCACGCGCAGTAAAAACTGGATTTTTTTTCCAACTGCGTATTTCGCTATTATCCAGATCTGTTCAACAAGCCGATCGGTCTAAAAACCTGCTTAAACTACATATGTAATACKAGCGATCAATCTGGAAAGGAATTACACAAAAAATTGGCTGTCGTGGCGTRCGTTCTCTAAGATATACAGAACTTGGACATTAGACAGTCCATTGGACATTAGACGCGTTGTTGTAGTGAACAATAGTTCGTGTAGTGTCATCGTCCGGCTGAGTAGTTCTGAAAAGAACTGTTGTTAGCGACTGACGTTTCAACAACCTTAGCAGAAGTTATCTTCAGAGTCAAGTGAATAGTGTTTGCCAGGCGATGGTGATGTTATAAACTTGTTGGTATTGGCTGTAAGACTCGCGTAAAGTTTGTCAACAGTCATTGGTCCGTTCTTGTAAGATACGGTCCGACTATGTACGATGAACAATGATTTCTAAGGCGTGTTCATAGCCATTATGCTGACAATAAGCCTTTTGTTTGGCGCTTTTTTTTATGCGTACAGCATGCCAAGCATTTTCAATCAGCTTTTTTCAAGCCTTCCCTTCATTGGATCATGTGATAATTACACCAGTAATTGGAAATAGATTAAAGTTTGGTATAATGTATTTTATAGAGCAATCGATATTTCCCCGGTAACAATAAACAAAAAAAGAGAAACTGAAAATCCGTAAAACATGAATTTTGCGCTCAGCAGATGTACATGTTGCGGCCCAATGTGCCAGGTGGCTCGAAAGGGAGAGTTAGGTGTACCTACTAGGCTAATTACTAGAAAAGAAAAAATTATTATATTTTTGTATATGCCATTTCATTTTACCTCTTTTACCGTTTGATTTCGAGCAAATGCTGAAACTCTTCAAATCACGCTTTTTGCATAATTATGAAAAATGAACCGTCAGTTAAGATAAACACTATATTTGGAAATAACATTGCTTCAAAATAATACCAAAATGTGTCTTGAAGCTGTGTTTTGAAGCAATCCGGAAGATCTTATTGCTTTTCTCTTTCGTGATCTCGAGAACTATACTTTTTCGGAGCTCAGTCATAGTATTTTGGTAAAGTACAAAATTATCTTTCATTTAAATTGAAGGAAACCTGAAAATAATAGTTAATTAAGATAGAAAAACACCAGAGATAGCAATAAACCATAAAGGAACAAGGATGGTTAAGGATGGAGAAGATTGACACGGATTACAAACGACGAACTTGAAAGATTTAGGCTAAACTTTTCAAGATGTGCAACCGTGACGAAGCTCTTTTAATGTACAGTGGAATCCCGAATTTTCGAACCTCCAAGGGAAACGAAAATTGGTTCGAAGAATCGGATAGTTCAAGAAATTGGGGGTAAAATTACAGTGGTATACTGAAGAGATGGAACGACTTTTGATTCGGGTTATCGGGAGGTTCAAAAAATGAAGGTCCGGGATTCCACTGCACTCGGCTAATAATATGATTTCTGCGCATTTTTGCACTCTGGGCTAAGGCTGAAAACAATTCGCGCGCAAAGTGTTGGAAGAGGTGTTTGAAACTCATTTACCACCTCGGAATTTGCGTGGATTCTCGGCTCTCAGTATATTTTGCAGATGCAAGATCTCAGCGCCGGATCAGTTAAAAAACACGTCAAGTAATTTCCATGTTGTTAGTTGAAATCTTTTGTTAATTCTCAGCTGTCTTTTAATCAAAGCCCATACAGACTCTTGGTACACAGTAACCGTCACACAAGGCTTAACAAAGTTAAAAAAAAAAAAATTCAAGTCGTTCTTTTCCTTTATTCACGGCAGGTAACAAGTAAAAACGGACCGTAATGGTTTTCCGGTTTTTGTTTTTCAAAATGCGATTCAGGGTGTGTATGCCCTGGGGGGAAGGGGGGGGAGGTGAAGTGGCGAGGAGGGGGATAGGGAAAGTAGTATAGGCTTCTATTACCTCAGAAAGGACGCTACAGGGAAACACTTTTATCAACGTGACAGGGTTACTTGATATGTCCTTCATTTCCAAGTGGAAAGTCCTCCCCCCGTATATACCAGCTGTAAAATTGAAGCAGTCTCTTTGTCTCTCGCTAAACTAACACGCAGAACGAATGCGCCGCTCCCGTGATTGTTGATGATTGTTGCCACTCTAGAGAAATTCTGCGTTCATTTAGCAGAAATTGGAAGAAATTCAGACAGGGTTTTCACTATCTAGTTTAACAATGAGATTGAAAAGAAAGCTCTAATATCTGCCAGCAAGGATAATTTCTTCAATACCTCCTTTGACGGAAACGGGTCATCGCGAATTCCCATCGATTTCAAAAATTTTGATTGAAAATTATGTAAACAGGTCGCAACACACGTGTCACCAGACTACTCGAGTTTGACACTCACTTAGCGAACAACGCTAATAAATATGCCGCTATCACGATCAGCTTTCAAAACATTGAGAAATTTCTTTCACTTGAATAGCTAGCGGCACTTTCTTTATATCAAGCGTGTCTCGTTTTCAGTAACCCTCTTGCGATTATAAAGTGAATAAACTGATTTTGCAAAAGAACAGTTGCCCTGAGCGACGAGTTTTGCGAATTTAGAAATCATTGACTACTAGTAGCTTATTCATTATTACCTTTTTCACTGCTCTCAAAAAACTCGTTCACACATTTGAAGCATTATTGCAATTTTCATTTCTTAAACAAAAGCGCAAACTGTTTTCGTTCAAATCTCCACTCCATCCTTTTAACAAACACCGCCTACCTTCTTTACTTGCAAAATTCTGCCTCAAAGCGTTTTTAATTACACTTCTGTTAATAGAGCTGGCGCCGGACAATTGTTTGTTTGCAGCTGTCAAAAAACTCTTTTTCTTTAAGTTATTCCTTGTCTCTGGAAATAATCCCATGCTAATTTCGATGATTATTTACACGAGATGCGGGGTATAATAACTACACTGCCTTCCTGTGGGTCTATCCATTTGTTGCTTCGCCAGGCCGAACAGGGACCCATTGATTGGTTCAGCTGATAGCTGCAGTTGCATTGCAAACCGGTTAGAAAACAGCACACTTTTGCTTTCATCATGGGAGTTCACCAATTCGTTCTACTTCTTACTACGATACAGTTATGTTACCAAGGTATTATCTGTTGTTATCTATATCTTGGATGTGATGTGTTTTGAATATTAGTAGCAAGTATTTGTAATCATCTAACATTTCAAACAGTTAAAACAGTAACCGTTGCGAAGGAAGGGGTTTAGAAATCTGGTTTCTCGCTTAACCCGGGGTACAGTGTTGGGCAAAACATTCTTTACTCACTCGCTTGGAAACAATCAGATTTAGTTATCAGCTCATGTTTAAAGGGCTGAGGGAGTTTGTTTAAACAAATTATAATCTTTGGTTAAACTTTCTCGTATATTATTGAGGGGGCAGGTATATTTATAACTTCAGAGTGTTTCAGAAATGACACAAGAGATACGCCCCCCTCTTAAACCCGAAGTAAAGTATATCTGAGTCAAAGAAACGCAGAGCTGAAGCTGTTACGATTTTCTAAATCTCAAACTTAACCGGAAGCTATTAGATATTACGATGACACGTTTTCCGTAAGCGACGAGGCTAGGCAATAACCAACAACTCCCAGCAAAAAATATAAGCAAGCTTTGTGACTTACGCAAGATTTGACACAGATGAAAAGTTTTACATTTCAGCGATCACAAGTTGCGTGCACCCTACCGGTTTCAATCAAAATTTTAAAAATTACGATAAAATTACACTTCCTGTTTTAAACTGAATATTCAGTACCTTGAAAACCAGCTAAGGAATAGATAACGCGTTTCTAACTGAGCAGCACAAGGAGTTAAATTTGCTTTTAACCAAACCTTGAAACCGGCAAAACCTTTTCACCGCGTGAAAAGCAACAACAGCCAAAAAACATGTTATAAGCGAGGGAGATTTTTAACGTTAAACTTCTAACGTATCCTTCACCGGTAAATTGAAGAATATCTAATGAATTGGAAAGCTCTATCTTTTTATTTCTGTCAAATTTATTAGTTGTCCTGTTTGTTCGCGGGGTAAAGACATTTATTAAAACTCTTGTACAACTCAAAAAGTGGCATGCAAGGCCCATATGCACATATCATTCAACTTCGCTTTTTCAACGTATTAAGTGTTTTAGTCATGCTCGAAAAGGTCTATAGGTTTTAAATTAAAAACAAAGATCAAACAAGTTCAGCAATAGAAGTAGCAGTCTAAATGACTGAAGCTTTTTTTTTTTTAAACAAACAAAAAAAAAACTGAAAAAAGATTTTTCCACCTCGATGATAAACAAATTTTCAGCCGGCCTTTCTCACCGAAAGCTACTCTTTATGAGTAAATTACACTAAGATTTATCAGCAATAATGAGTTAATTCTGATTCATTTTCCTCGCGGAACCAATGAATTATTTTTATGTATCTCCCCATGAGTTCACTAGGAAACAGTAATTTTTCGCATTGAAAATCAGACTGCTG